TGTTTTCTTTTTTGGGGGGGGGGTCAATGCAGAGTGGGTTTCTAACGATCCCCCCAGCAGTTGTTTTCACTTCTGTTTGGACGGCGCTACAGTTCTGTGTTGCGATCGCGATCAAGCGGTGGCTGAGCTTATCCAGTACACGGCGTATCCGACGAGGCAAGAGCGGCGCGCAATGGTGGAAGCAGCCGCGACGGGCTGCGGTCGGGACATAATCGGATTGGTGAAGAGCAGAGCGAGGGGAGATTTCCAGAAAGGTTTGTTGGCGTTGCTCGAACCCGCTCCGATCCGCGACGCGGAATGGATTAACAGGTCGGTATCGGGGTTGTTGCTGAAACGGAAAGATATCGCGAGAGAGGTCCTCTGCACCCGGACTCCCGACGAGCTGCGCGCCATTGCGGACGCTTATCGCTTCAGATATGGAACGGAGATGGTGGATGACGTGGCTGGCGCCTTTTTCGGGAAAGAGCGGGAGTTGTTCCGCCGATTACTGACCCTAGATCGAGTACTACAGGCCGATCACCGCGCAGCAGATCGGGATCGCACTCGCATACTAGCGCAAGCCCTTTACGAAGCTGGGCCTGCAAGATGGGGTACGGACGAAGGTACGTACATCCAGATCCTGACCACCGAAAATCCCGACGCACTCAGGGCCGTGTTTCGCGAGTTCGAGGCCTTGTACGGACAGAGTCTGTTCGCGGTGATGGATAAGGAGTTCAGTGGAAGCTTCCAGAAGGACATGCTAACGCTCAGCAAATTTCTGATCGACCCTCCAAGGGTGTTCGCGGACATTATCCGCAAGGCGCTGACTGGGGTTCGAACCGACGAAGAAGACTTGATAAGAGCGATCATTGCCCGGAAGGACATCGATCTGCGAGAGATCATGGAGGTATATGAGGCACAGGGTGGGTCGCTGATGGAAGACGTGGAGTCGAAAACCCGAGGGGACCTCCGCAGCCTGTTAATGGCGGTGATCGCCAGCGTGGCATAAGGAAGTGCGAGAGCGGAATCTGCAGACAGGATAGGAGAGGAAGAGAGGGGAGATCAGAGAGGAGAAGGGGGAGAGGGGGAGTGAACTTGGAGAAGGAAGGCAAAGGAGGATGGATTATTACTGTTAAGTGGAGGAAATAAGGATGAGAGAGGGTAGATTGTGGACTTGTTGTGGGGGGGGGGGGGGGGGGGGGGGGGGGGGGGGGGGGGGGGGGGGGGGGGGGGGGGGGGGGGGGGGGGGGGGGGACGGGGAAGGAGGATGAGGGCCCTGTTCACACAACTGAACTGAGGGATCCGTTTGCCTCTGAAATGTTTGTCTTGCTGCTCTGCATACTGGGACGCCGGACTCGATTGCTACCGGTAGTAGGTGTGCTTCCCCACCAATAGATCGGAATTGTTCTTTGTAAGATAATATAAATGAACAAATAACATAAACACACGAATGAAAATATATTCTTTAAATTTGTTCTTCCTCGCAGCCAGTTCTCTGTCTGTCATGTCTGTCATCCTTTTTTAATAACCACTGGTCCTTTCCTTGTTTATGAGATTCGTTGTAGCGATCATTTGCGATTTTCAGAGATTGAGAGGGGTTGATGTTGCGCGGAGGGAAAGAGAAGAATCCTACAGTCTTCCCCGGAATACAACGTACGGTCATTATAGCTGAATTTAGACTGAAAGATCGACCAAATTCGGCTATAATGACCGTGCGTTGTATTCGGGGGAAGACTGTAGGATAGATAAAACTTTTAGCTCGTAGATGTTACGTTATATCTACTACAAGGACATCGAAAACGCCGAGTGGTACTGCCTGCTTGTTCAGACATTCTTGTTTGTTAAATTTTGTCATGATGATAACGGAACTGTCCTACCTGAGTAGATGAGACTTAAATAATTGGCAGCAGAGGTTAGAGTCCGTACAGTAAAACTTAAGGTGATTAAATGTACACCGTTCATAAAATCATAAGATCTTATCCGCGACCGAGAAAAAGATATACCGTGGATAAAATCATAAGATCTTATCCGCGACCGAGATAAAGATATAGTTTCTAAATTTTTGTGTGTGTCTGGACATGGTAGGCTTTGGCGGTCTTTCACTTGCTGTGGTCGATTGGGAACGAGGTATCTGGCTGATCTTATCCACAGTCCTCTCTTTGCCAGATCGACGATATGATCTCAGCCGCAGTCCTCTCTTCGACATCCCGACAGTGTGATCTTATCCGCAGTCCTCGTTGATCTCTGAAAGAGGGTGCTTTTTTTTTTCTGTTTTTCTGTTGTTTTTTTTTTTTGTGGGGGGGGAGGGGAAGGGCTGTCGACCGCGGAGTTTGGAACTGCAGTTCAGTAGGGCGCAGTAACATAAGCAGTTTCTAAATGCCTGTATGAAGTTTACTATGCAGTCTAAATTCCAGTTTGCAGAAAGGTCGGGCCGCGGAGTTTGGAACTGCAGTTCAGTCGGGCAGGTGCCGTTTTTTTTTTGTTTTGTTTTTTCCCGGTTGCGCACCGCGTTGAATCTCGGCCGTGGCCAATCTGGGGTGTGGCCGAGACATCTCGGCCGTGGCCAGACCATGGGGCTGTTTTTTTTTTTTTTTTAAATCCTAGCGGCGGTGCATGACTGAAAAAAAAATAAAAAAATAAAATAAGGGCCACCTGTCTGACTGAACTGCAGTTCCAAACTCTGTGTGACTTTTTTGCAAAATCGCGAAGCGGAGTTTCGACTGCATAGTAAATTCCCCATGGGACTGGAATTAAAAACTGCAGTTTGAAATGCATTTAGATAGTCAAACCATGACCACGCCCTAGTTTTCAATTGATAAAATAACATTGTCTATCTGGGAAAGAGAAATGCATTTAGATAGTCAAACCATGACCGCGCCCTAGTTTTCTATTGATAAAACAAGTGGACCCGCTGTGACGACGCCGCGGCCGCAAGAGCGGGAGGCTTGAAGGAGGCCGGAGGAACGGGAGGGAAGGGCAATGACAAAAACATTTTGCGAAACACCACAGCCATCAGTTGGACCCCATCTTTGCAATGCAACCCCACCGGACGCTGCCCAATTTTGCAAAATGCCCCGGCAGTTGTCAACTTTTCGTAGGCGCAATCGCAAAAAGCCAAGAGAATTTGCACACCCACCTCAGAGGGGCATACCACAAACATGTCAGTTCAAAAGGCCATTCCACTGTGCCCATATCCTTAACGGACATTTAGACATATATCTCAACTTCTGGGGGTATTTGGAAAATTATCCGCCCCGCCAAAGAAAAGGAGACACTCTCTCTCTCTCTCCCCCCAAAAAAGGAGACACTGTGTGTGTGTGTGTGGGTGTGTGTGTGTTCATTGGGAGACGGCGCGCAAGGGAGGAGGGTTGTCAGACGCTTGCATGATTATCTTACCCATACGATTGTCTCAGAGACTCTCTCTCTCTCTCTCTCTCTCTCTCTCTCTCTCTCTCTCTCTCTCTCTCTCTCTCTCTCTCTCTCTC